GGTTTTATCACATAATTAAATATGAAACCTAAGTTATTCTTGTTCCTATGTTAGGGACAAGTGTGTACGTGTCTGTCTGCACATACACGCATGTATGTACACATATGTATGTATTCAGACGTGTCACACAGAGCTGCAGTGAACCCACTCGAGGCTGTGCCCTGTGTGTTTGCTTCCTTTCAGGTTTGTAGGGGTTTGACATGTATTTTTACACATCAGTCTTAAGAACCAGTAGGCAACCTCATTTTTCTAGGAAAAAACATAGAATCACTAAGGTTGGAAGAACCCTCTGGGATTGAGTCCAACCACTCCCCCATCACTGCCAAGGCCACCACTAACTCCTGTCCCCAGGTGCCAATGCCTGACCACCCTTTCTGTGAAGTAGTTTTTCCAATATCCAACCTAAGCCTCTCCTGGCATAACTTGAGGCTGTTACCTCTTGTCCTGTCCCTGTTCCCTGGGAGCAGAGCCTGGTCCCCACCTGGCTGTCCCCTCCTGTCAGAGAGTTTTGGAGAGTGAGAAGGTCCCCGCCGAGCCTCCTCTTCTCCAGGCTGAGCCCCCCCCAGCTCCTTTTCCCACTCCTTATCGGACTTGTGCTCCAGACACTTCCTTCTCTAGGAGTGGGTGTTTTTCCAACCTGACTTTTCTTTCTGAAAAAGCAAGAGAGATTGCTTCTCCTTTCTGCATTCCCCATTTCCCAATTCCTTACCTGCCTGGTGAGGAAATAGGGAGTCAGAAGGTGAGGGGGGAGGTAGAACAAACTTCCCATGTGCCAAGGCACCTTCTCCCGTGACCTCAGCCAGAGCGTTGTCGGCCTTAGCCCGCCCCAGCGCTGTTCCGAAACACCAATGTGGAGGATGTCCTGAACGCCAGGAAGCTGGAGCGGGAGCTGCTGCGGGATGAGTTCCAGAAGAAGAAAGAGCAGGATAAACTGCAGCGGGAGAAGGACAAGCTGGCCAAGCAGGAACGGAAGGAGAAGGAGAAGAAACGAACACAGAAAGGCGAGCGGAAGCGGTAGCTGGTGATTTCCAGTTGGACTCTCAAAGGATAAAATTAATTCTGAATATGGTGTGTGTTTAAAAAGCAGCAAGAATTCCAGGCACGTGGCCAGGAGCAGTTCTTGGGAAGCGGTGCCTTTTTTTTCTTGTTTTGTTTTGTTACATAGCAGAACAGAATCTCTGAGCAGCTCCTGGACTCAGTGTGCCCTGTGCTTGTGGTATCAGTGTCCCAGTCAGTGCTTGTGGCCAGTGTCTGTACCAAAGAAAGGTGAAGTGATTATGTCATATTGTTAAATTGATCCATTTTTACTTCTGACCACCTGGGAGCAGAGCATGGTGTAGGAACTGCCCCTGCACTGGCCAAGGCTTGAGCTGAGCTTGTCCTGCCACGAGCCAGGACACGCTGCCCCAAGGCACACATGAATTCATTGACACAAGCCTTGAAAAAATATCTTTGCAAATCCCTGTGTTTGCACTGCTGAGGCCAACGCTCTGGCCCTGCTCGGGCTGGGCCGGGGGAGCAGGACTGGAGCTGAGATCAGCACAGAGCGGGGCTGCAGCAGAGGAGTGAGATGTGTGAAATGGAGGTGAGCTGCAGTGATGTGACTCCATTACCTGTGGACTGTGAGTGAGGGAAACACCGCCCAGGCAGGAGCATTGGCCTCAGCAGCAGCAAACCACACTCCTAACGCAGTTTTAAGACTCCAGAGAGCTGGAAAATGGTGCTCCCCAATGTTCTGTGGGGTGAACGTGGATTGTTACTTCCATGGCTGTTGCCAGGGTGAAGCTCTGAAGCTGGTTTGGCACAAGCAGGGTGAGCAGGAAATGCACTGGGGATCACTGCCCATTGGGCACAGCTGCTGTCAGGAACTGCAGTGCTCCTCCTGAATGCTCCTTCTCCCTCCAAAGGGCTCATCCCTGCTACTCCAGCCTTTTTGTGATGGTGTTGCCCACTTGAGGAAGGAGAACACTAGTCCTGTGAACTGAGGGGCAAGGAGGGGCTGTGGGAGGAACGGGTGTGCCTGGGCTCTGTGCTGCAGCATGCTCTGGGTGCCTGCTTGCTGTGAGGTGACCTGTGCTGAGCTCCTGTGCTCCTGCAGTCCCAGGATGCCCAACCCAGTGCCATTTTCAGCACCGCGCTGACTCCAGGGCTAGGCCTCCCCCTCAAGCTGCTGCTCTGTGTGTGTGTGAGTTTCCAACTGCTTTGTCTTTGGACTTGAATAATAAATCTTGATTGGCCAAGAAGTGGGGTCCTCTGAGTGATGTTGCCATTCATATTGGCAGTGCCAGTGATGTGTCCTTGCTGGCCCCTTGCCCAGCAGCGGCATTTCTGAAGGGTCCCCTGTTGCTGCCTTGGTGCAGATTCAGCTTCATTCAGGCCTTGTTTCTCAGGGCTGTGGTGCTCTCTTTCCTGGGAGCTGACCCAGCTGTGCTGCTCCCCAGGGCTCTCTCCCCAGTCTGGATTGGTCTGCTGTGGCGGTTCCTGGTTGGTATTTCAGGTGGCTCAGGCAGCTGCCAGGGTGTGGGACTGCAGTGGAACAGGGCAGGGGCAGTTCTTGAGGGAGGGAGTCACTCAGCGCCAGCTCTCACTTCCTGGTGCCCTGGAGCCCCATACACCAGCCCTGGGCTGAGGCTGGGCGAGGCACTGGCTCTGCCTGGGCCCGAGGCAGCCCTGGCCCCCTGCAGGGCTCAGGAGGCGGGCAGCAGGGGCCATCGCACCTCCTGCTGGCATCCCACTTTCTCTGGGAGCAGCTGCTGCCAATCTCTGTCAGCCAAAGTGGCTTTTCCTGGAGCTCTGTGACCTGGCACTGAACTGGCCAGCCCTTGGCTTCCAAGGAAAATGCAAGCTGAGGGCTGGAGCTGCCTACCTGCACAGGCACAGCCCACCTGAGCCTGTCACAGCCTCCTGAGACCTTTTGTTGTGAGGGTCAAGGGAAGGGCAGTGTTCACCTCTTCAGGAGAGGAAGGCCTGAGCCAGTTCTGCAACTGCTGTGCTCCAGAGCCTGTACAGGAACAACAGGCTACATTGTGTGTGCACATCCACAGGAGTCTGCATGGATGCAAGAAGGGCACAGTCACACACACAGTGGGAACTGGCTCCCACAGCCCTGCAGATCCCTCTGCAGGCACCACTGTCCCTGCACTCAGCCAGGCACAGGGCTGGGCCAGACTGTTTTGTCTGTCTGGCTAAACCTCACTCTGCTGTTGTAAAAGGCCCTGTCAGGGACAGGGATCAAGCAGCTGTCCTGGGGCAGAGTGGAACTGCAGTAGCATAGCAGCAGCCAGTGGTGTTGTAAACTCAAAGTGAGCTGATGCTTCCCAGCCCATGAGGCTGCAGGGGTGCCCCCGCTGCCCACCCCATGGTCCTGTCCCTGCCCCCTAGAACTGTGGGCCCACCCCTTCCCATGCCAACAGTTTGTGCCATGGATCAGGTGCCCAGGCAGGCAGCAACTCAGCTTCTGGAGCTCCAACCACTGCTGCTCCATTCAGGACAGTCAGCAGTGCACAGCTGGCACTGACGGCACAGAGTTATTTATAGAGCAGGAATACTCTGGACTCACCCCTAAGCTGAAATGCTGCATCAGCCTTCCCTGGCAGTGCAGAGCTTGGAGCTGAGACACTTGCAGGGAAGAAACATTCCCTACTCTGGCTCCCCTGGCATGTCCAGGGATGTTGTGGTCATAGCTGTCTCCAGAGAGGCATTTCAGCATTCCCACTGCTTTATCCTGAACACAGTTCCATAACAGACTGAATGCTTCCCCCTGGTACCGGTTCAGGCTCAAGGAGCCCAGCTGGAAACACACTTGCAGAACAGAAGCTCTTCAACAAAAATGAATTTATTGCTTATAGACAACTCCAGTCAGCACAGTCAGTTTTGCTTTAACATCAGCACAGCCTGGCCAAACTGAGCAACCCCCAGTGCAGTGGCTGTTAGGAAGCTGTGCTTGTTCTGCCCCACTCACCCGGCAGCACTTCTGTCGTTGCCGTGATCACACCCCACCTTCTTCTAAGCCTTTCTCAGTCGTTTCTGCACATCATCTAATGACAATTTATCTGATGCCATCACCCTTCTGCATATCAGCATTCCCAGCAGCAGGAAGAACAAAGCCACGTCAGTACCAGGCTGTGCAGGCATGGTCAGCTCAGTAACTTTAACCCACTGGTTAAAGTGTGTTTCCCAAGGCCACTCTGTCCAGAGCACCATCGTTGGGTGCTGGCGAGTCCATTACTCCTGCTCCTAAAGACTGAGAGCTGCAAGCAAACACCAGTGCTGGGAGCTGCCCAAATGCAGAAGGGAACTAAGAAGTCTAGAAGTTGACAATTAAATTTCAAACCGAACTAGTAACTTTAAGAAAATCCAAATTTCAGAACTTGGCACGACCTTTTCTGAAGTTAAATTAAAAACAACACTCATTATTGAAGCTCCTTCACAGCTCTGCAGGACAATCCTGTCTGCCTGTCGTAGTTTGATTATGCTTAAATACTTTATAACAGTAGTTAATTTGTTCCCAAGAGCATTCCAAATATCTGAACACATTCACTAAATTCATGGTTTCACACAGCAATTCTGCTCTATTGGTAATTTAGTGGCACCTGGTGCATATTGCCTTTCCCAAACATAGACTTTAAAATCAAATTCATAAATATTTGTATTTTAAATATCTAGTTTTACATGAATAGTGGATATTTCCAGCCTTTTTTCTATCTGTTTCCAGGTTTTAGTTCAATAAGGAAACCATTTTACATCACAATCTGATCTGACACCAACCTCACACCCCATCACACCACAGTCTTTAAGAATCATTATTTAAAAAGCTATTTCCTAAAGCAAAACTAAAAGGAGTTATGTGGAGAGTTGGACACCAGGCTTCACCTGCAGGAGTTAGATAATATCTTGGCTGTTAATGAATTAGTCTGATTATTTTTTTAAGTTAACATTCACCAGTTTGGCTTTACAACATTCTGAACCTGCCCATCACATTAACAGCTTAACCTGAGAGCCCTTAAGGCAAATGTCACTTCTCATCAAGATACAGCTTTAAATATGAACTTTAGCAGTTGAAACTTTGAAGTAACTTAAAAGAACCAAAAATTACGAGGAATTCACGTCTCCTCTCTCATACACACTGCGGAGCAGGTCCGTGCCCGGCCCCGGGGCTCCCTCTGCACCCCCTTCCCTGGGCCCTCGCGGGGCCGCGGCCGCGGCCAGGGGGGTCTCGGCTCGCTTCTCTTCGGGTGCTGTCCCCTCCTGGGGAAGTCTGTCCCGAGCTCGTCTGCCAGCAGAGGGTTTGGGCAGGGTCATCTGGAAGGCGCACCACAGCACGGTGCGCACCTTGCGCGTGACCAGGCACAGGGCTTGCAGCGCCGTGGCCAGAGCCAGCACCACTGTGGAGGGAAGAAACCGCCCTTTAGTCCTGGAGCACTGCCGGGGCTGCCCTCACCCCACACCTTCGGTCCCTTTCGTGTCTGACCTTGTCTGTCCCTTCACAGGTTCATAAAAGCTGGATCTGAATTTCTCTGCCTTCACACAGTGAGGCAAGTGTGTGGTTTTTAGGTTCTAAGTTTATTACAGAACCTTCCTGCTGCAGATGCACCCCAGCGCTGGGGTGCTCCATGTACACACACACACTAATGGCACCTGGACCCTCCCCTTCTGGGTCACAGCAGGGTCCTTCACCTGTCCTGCCAAGAAATCCTGACCATGGGTGAAGGAACAGCTTGTTTGGGGCATTGGATAAAGCTCACAGGTCATGTTCTGTGAATAGGTGTTGAACCACGGAGCTGTAAAAGGTCACCTGAGCTGAGGTCCTGTTATTCTGGCACAGGCTGCCCAGAGAAGCTGTGGATGCCCACCCCTGGAAGTGTCCAAGGCCAGGATGGACAGGGCTTGGAGCAAGCTGGGATAGTGGAAGGTGTCCCTGCCCATGGCAGAGGTGGAACTGGATGATCTTTAAGGACCCTTCCCACCCAAGCCATCCTGTGATTCTGTGATAAATGCTTAATATCAGATCAGATGGAACAGAGAGGTGTTGTGGAAACAGGGCCCAGCAAGACCTGCTCCTGAACAACCAGAACAGCTTCAGGCCATTTCCTCAAGGTTTTGTCTGACAGAGCATATACAGTTACTGCATCCAATAATTTACTGTTCAAAAAAATCCTCCCCTACTGCTGCTCCAGGTTCAACACCCCAAGACAGTGATAGGAGGCAGAGGACCAAGCACCACCCCTCCAGGCAAGTAACCAGATCCCACTGTGCAGAGCCTTGCCTCCTCTCCTCTCCCAGCAGCTGCACTAAGAAGCTGGATTTCCAGGTCTGACAATTTCTTCCCAGACTCCTCTGTTCCAAAGACAATTATTTTCAAGGGCTACAACACTCAAAAACCCCCTTCACTTTAACAAGTCCCATAATCTTCAGTCAAGGTAAAGAGAAATAAGAATAATGGAGAACAGGTGAAAAGAAAGAATGCTGCAGTGTATCTTCTGAGGTAAACTTGAGAATTACAGAACTGCATGATGGGACACCTCAAAGAAGTAAAATAATCCCTGTAATTCAGATGGAGAAAGAACAGCAGAAAGGATCAGAAGATTCCAAAACATAAGACAGCTTCTGACACAAGGTAGGAGGTCAGAGTGTAACAGGGAACCGGAATTTACCCTGATTCCCATCTCAGAGACAAGGGAACCTACCACTCTGCCTGTGCACTGGTGAAAGGTTAAGCTGAGTATTTGGCTTTTTTGGGATACCATTAAGAATGAAAACATTCTGCCATTGTATTTTTGTGCATCCATCCAAAATATGACTTGTAATTATGCCAGTCTAAGACAGAAGATACTTGAAGAGGAAGTCCATTTGTAAACTAAGACCATCTTGGTCACTTGGGGCAGATTCAGCATAGAGATACCAAGGAAGTTCTAGATAAAGACAGAGCTGGAGGCTCCTAAGAAGAGGAATATGAGGAACAGGAAGAAGCAAGAGGCAATAGCTTAATAGCACCTCCAAGCCCTGAATGTGTTACCAAAACCCCCACTAACTTTTATTCCTAGGTAGTTTATTAATGAAATGACCACCTCCAAATTGATTTAACCTATTTATCTCTAAAACCCAGGTTTAGTGTCTCCTCAAACCCTCATCCAAACCCCACCTAGTCTGCCTTTGACAAAGTTCTAACATTGAAAAGTAAGTTAAAACTTGAATTATAACCCCCTCACTTATTTTTGCAAGATGTTCAACTTCCCAGCTACCTTATCAATGTACATAAACGCAGCTATACCTCTCTCATCCTGGCACCTGGGAGGGCCGTGCCGCTGCCGACTGGAAGCACTGACGATTTCATCCTTCCTCTGAGCCTGCACCACGTGGATCGACTCCAGGAGTTTATCCAGAGCAGTGTAGATGTTGGGGTGGAGCGGAGAACTGCGCAGGCGCTCCATCTTCCCCAGTAAAGTCACAACCTAATGAACAATTCACATTTTACAGGGGTTCACACTGTACTCATCCACACTTACAGGAAAATTAACTAGGGAGAACAGATTAATGATAATTATTACTTTATTTTGAGAACAGTTCATGAAGCTACAGCTGAAGCAGTTCTAAGTTCTTACTTGGGATTTGTTATCTCTAAACCCAAAGCTGTGGTACGGCTGGGTGTGCAAAGCGCAACAGCAAAGCTACAACCCCCCAGTAAGGACCCCCAGGTCACTGGTTAATACCAGATCTGTACAGCTTTGAGACATCCATGAACAAAAAGTGGTTTCAGAACAATGGGCATTTCCCTGAATTCACAGCACTGGGGTCTCCTCCCTTTTCACAGCACTGCTGCAATGTCTGGGTGAAAACCCAGATGGTCCCCTTGACCAGCCTGGGCCAGCAGCAGTCACAGCTGCACTGGGAAAGGGAAAGCTGCTGTGGAACCATGTGTGGGCTGACTTTGGGATGAACACTCAGCACTAAGGGAGCTGAAAACAAACATTCAGAAATAATTCAGGTTTCTTTAGTCCACTGAAAATGTGCATCTCTGTTGTCTTATCTTACATCAGTCACATCACTTGTGGGTTTCCACATGGTGAGTGACTCCTCAGTCACAGTCACATAATGTTGAGAACCTGGTTATTGGTCTGCAGAAAAAGAGAAACTAAAAAACCCCAAATTGGGATGTTCCTCAGACCATGGCTGCACTTAATGCCTTAAAGGAATACATGTGACTGTCAAGAAGATTTAAATGAATGCTCAAACTTTGAAGAGTTAATTGCAGATTTAGCCAACTCAGCTTCCACTCAAACCTTTGTACCAGGGTTACTCTCTGGCCATCACCAAGATTTCTGATGTTAGAGTCCAGGTTTAACAGCCCCACTCTGCTGTGGAGCATTCTTAAAACTACCTAACAAGGGTTTGAGGTGCTGTACGCTGAAGTTTGGTTCCTCAAATGGCTAGAGAAGGCTTTAGCCATGTTTTGGAGGCTGTTTTAAATTATGAGGATAAGGGCAGGCAAGCCTTCTAAACATGGAAATTAAGGCTGTTCTTTTGGGATTCGTAGAGCAGGAGTTTTAGTACACTAAGCTCATCCATGTCTTTCAGTCCATCCCTCAGCTGGATGAGCAGCACCAGGCAGGTTCTGCAGGCAGTGAGCAGACACAGCTCCAGGGATTATTTCTCCTGTGTGAGGCAGGTAGGACAGGCTGCTGCTCTCCCCTGCTGCCCAGTGGCTGGCCCAGCACTGCTGCTGTCTCCAAACCCAACATTTCCCAGAACCATTTCACCCCACAGCCCCTGGCAGGGGGGTACAGTTTGGCTTCTGCTTGTCCTTGCCTACAGCACCAGCACCATGGCTCTGGTCTCTGGGCCTCAGGAGGGCCACAGCAGCCGCTCACCATTCTGATGGCAGTCTGTGTTCCCTCCTCCCCCAGCTGCCACCTTCCCAAGGACCCTGGGGCTGTCAGCAGCACTGTGGTTTGCCCACAGAGCTCAGCAGATGCCAGTCTCCCTTGCCCTACTGGGTTAAAGAGCTAATTGGTAACAGAAACTCAGGCTGAAGGTTCATCAAATAATCATTTGATGATTAAAATATAAAATATATCAGACTCTCAAGCAAATATGTATGTCAGTATCTTCCAAACATTAACTAAACCTGTTTTTTCCCCACAAATACCTCCTCCATCACAGTGTCTCCAAATCCAGAGTGAACATTTCTCTGCCGAGCTGCTCTGAATGCAGCACCCCTGAGAGCTGTGCACAGGCTCCAGGACTGGATGCTGCACCACGTGCATGCTCCTGCACCAGGAACCACATCCTCCTGGCACATGTAACTGTGAGCCTCAGCCCCTCTGTGCTTCCCTGGAAACAGCACCCTGGAGCTGCAGAAGTGCTAACAGGGACCGCTGAAATGCTATTCCCTGCACAGCAATAAAGAACAAAGCTATTTTGGGAAAAGCTGCTCTGATCATCTTACCTATCTCACACTGTACTCTAAGTTCTGTGGGGTAAGTTCAATAGATTTCTTTTAGTCCTAAAACTCACTCTGGCTTGTTCCCGTAGCTGATCCACAATTAAGCGATCAACCCTTGATGGATTTGATGTCAGCCTTGGAATTGGAATGCTGTTAGTACTGGAAACCTTCTTCCCTTGGAAATTCTTAGCAAGAGCTGATTCAGTCTGCAGGAAAACAAAAGAACAACTCCCTCAGAATGTACATGCAGAGTGTGCTTCATTACAGAAACAAGGAAAAATACCAGGTTCAATTTCTTCCCATCAGGATTTTGGAGATTTTTAAAGGAGACAATGAGGATTCAGGCATTTGGGATTTAACTCTCTGGTGAGACAATCACCTGCTTTAAGTGAACAACTGCTTTACTCAAAGCAGTTCAACTAAAGCAATCGTGCCAACACACCGTGTTCCAGCAGTGCTATGTCTGCTCACTCTGACTACAGCCTGTACTGGTTTTGCCTGGAAATAAAATGGAGGCAAGTCAGAATTACAGGGAGAAAAAAATGACCAAACAGATGTGGCTCTCACACATAAAATAAAAATAAAATTGCTTCAGTCAGCAATTAATCTAATTTTTGTAAAGATTAAACTACAGAAAGATTTTTTCCTAAGCACCCTGGTCTAGTGGAAGGTGTTCCTGCCTATGGCAGGAGGGTGGAGCAGGATGGTCTTTAAGGTCCCTTCTAAACCAAACCACTCCAGGATTCTATAGCTTATTTAGTCACCAGAAAACTATTTTGAAAACTGTTTGCAAGGTTCCCAGTTTCCACCTCTTCCATCCCCTTGTTATGTCACTCTAAAACACCCATAACAACACAGAATTAGCTAAAACTGCTTTAAAACAGCAATTCTTGGATGGTTTCATAAGTGGTCCACTATCAACAAGAGCATGGAGTGCCAAGACAAGGGGGAAGGGCTTCACACAGAGAGAACAGCTTTAAACTAGATATTAGAAATAAACTGTACCCTGTGAGGGTGGAGAGGCCCTTGCACAAGTTTTCCAGAGAAGCTGTGGCTGCCCCATCCCTGGAAGTGTCCAGGGCCAGGTTGGATGGAGTTTGGAGCAGCCTGGGATAGTGGAAGGTGTCCCTGCCCATGGCAGGGGGTGGGACTGAGGGAGCTTTAAGGTCCCTCCTGACCCAAACCATTCTGCGATTCTGTGATAAAACTGAATTTCTCCCACCATGGCCCCTGGCCACACACATGCCAGTTTTTACTCTCTTGCACTTTCCATGCACCCCCCAGACACCACCTCTCATCCTTAAGCTGGGCTCACTACTCCTCAGCCCCTCTATACAAAGCAACTACTGGCAACATATTTACTGGATTTGCTTTCAAAGTCTCAGAGGCACTGTATTTATTGTATTAATAAAAATGGTATAGCACATCTTTGCTCCTCATGAACACACCTTCCCCAGCCCTGGGACTGGAAAAGCCCCTGAATTCCTGCTTTTAGTGCAATGTTCCATACAACATTAGCTGTGCTTCCAGCTAGGCTACAAATCTCCACACCTTTCACTTTCTATCTCAAAACAAACAGAGAAACAAACTTGTAACGTTGAAGTCCCATCAAGCATTTAAACTCTTAACAGCAGAACTACCCATGGTTTGTGACTCCACTGAGCAGGATGAGATCTACATCAAATCTGTGATATTATTGTAGTTTGGTTTTCTTACCTTCTTTCTTTCTTTCTCCAAAGCTCTCCACTGCTCATAACACTCTTCCAGTCTCACATGCAGCTCGCTGGCAGGCCCACTGCGACTTTTAACTTGCTTTTGAAATCCAAATGCTGACACGAAACCAGAAAGGGCATTGTCACCATACATCTTCTCCGTAAAGCAGGGGTAGAGGCGTTTGAGATCGTTCTGGGAGAACAAGGTGTGAGGCTCCATCAGAGGCACCACGGACCGGTCCAAGAGGTGAGCAGATCTCATGGGGAAGGTGCTGGGGCCCAGCCGCCGGTTCCGCCTGAAGTCACCTACCACGTAGTTGGGAATGCCTGGAGACTGCAGGCAGCTCCCAGCACCAATGGCACTGGTGTCCCCGTTCCCTGCCCCAAGATGCAGCTGCCCCTGAGACTCCAGTAACTCCTGGTGCATGTCCTGAAACACCTCATCCGCCTGGTTCTGCCCTTCCAGATCACAGTGCTCACTCTGCGGCTTCAGCTGGAAACGCTGTTTGTTCAGATTGTCAATGATCCCCAGCTGCTGAGCCAAGTAACTGTCACAGAATCCATTTGGCTGCTTCAACTTCTTCTCACTGAGGTACTCGATGAAGTTCTCTTCCCCACCCCTAACCAGGGCTTCCATGCACGCAGCTGCCCGAGCTCGCTCTGCAGTGCTGTAGTTGAAGTCAAGGCTGGAGAGTAATGTGTTGTCTTGACAGTACTTGTGAAGTAAATTACTATTTAAAGGCAAATTTGAAGATGGCAACTGAAAACCATCATTAGAATGACGAGAACTTTTTGGAAATGCAGGTGACTGATTATTCAGTTTCAACGAAGGACTTGGATTCTGGAAGGGGCCAGAAGCCGTGGGTTTGGTTTGGATGTTCATCCATCCTGGCCTAGCACTAGAGCCTGCTGAGGGGACTGTTGCACTGGGCAACAGTGGGAGTGATTTATAGAATTCAGGATTCTGAAGATCGGCCTTGGAAAGCTGCTGCTTTTCCACACCATTATTCCCTGGACAAGCTGCAAAAGATTTTAGTCCATATTCAAATTTTTGCCCAAAATCAGTGCCAAAGGAAGATTCGTTTGCAAACTGTTTTTCTGATACAAGTCCTACAGACTTGGGAAATGTAAAGTCGTGCTGATCTGAAATTGTATCTTCAAATTTTTTCTGAGTTCCTGATTTAACTTGAAATAATTTAGCATAGGGCTCTGCATCCAGAGATGGTGCCTCAGGGGTTCCATTTACCAGCTTTCTATTTTCTTGGAGGCTACAACTGGTGCCCTTGTTGGGCTTCGCTTTACCAGCATGAGAATATTCAGTGTATCTGGTATAATCTGTGATCTCATTGTATCTGTGACACTGTGGAAGGAATGCTTCTGCCCGCTTTGGGTGCGCCTGTGCATCTGCTCCTTTGGGACACACCTTCTCCCTTCCATAAGAATAAGCATCAACTCCTGAGTCTTTGATTGCTTCTGAGTACCCAGCCTGGGCTGCAAAAGTGTTCTTCATGTAGGGATAGTTCTGATATACAGGTGTTGTCTTCATACTCTCATTAGTCTGCAAGTTGCAGCCATTGGCACGATCACTCCTGGCAGAGTACAAGCTCTGCTCTTCCAGATCCACTCCGGCAAAGCTGCGGTAACAATCGTCTGCTTTCTGCTGTGCCACCAGAGTGGGACTCTGCAGGAACTGCTTGTCAGCAGTAGGGAGGGACTCACTGCCATAGAAACCCTGCTGGGGCACTGCTCCAACAACTGCCCTCCTGGCTTCTGGCAACAGGTCATGGTGCTCCATTCTGGTTGTGTTCACTGGCCACACAGACTTCAGGGTGGGAGGGCAACTCCTTGAAAAACAAGAAACACATGGTTAGACACCGATCTGTGCTGCTGCTCATCATTCCCAAACACAAAATAAAGTTTAAGAAATGAGTTATTCCTAAATAATTTCTCTCAAATGATTCCAAGATGTCTGACTTCAACTTCTACCCAGTCCTGTCATCCTTAGTTTCCAATATCTAGCTGAGAAAACTGATTCTCCCACAGCTCAGGAGCTATGGACAGACCCTCAAGCTGCAAGGGATCTGTACACATCAAACCCTGGTCTGTCAGTCCTGTTCATCCTCACCAAACTACTCCTGGATCAGCACCAAGTACAGCCCTCACTCTTCCCAAGCCATTTCCCAGCACTCCAGAGAAAATCCTTCTCTCTCACCTCACTTGTGCACTGCTTCCTGCAGGTAAAGCCAGAGTCAGCATCCCAGCACACCTCATTTCTTTCTACTAACCAGAATGAATTCACACAGGACCATCAATCCCTGACTGCCAAGGAGAACTTTAATCAGACTAAGTAAAGGGGAAATTATTCCTGGAAGCCACTGCAGGCCAAATCTGGGAATACTGAACCAGCCCTGCCTGTCCATAGCAAAGGGATTACAGAGTTGTCTCATGATATCAAGACTGACTCTGTAGTTTTCCCTGATTTCAGCCACATAACTCAGCACCCATAGAGAAATCACTGGAACTGTTTGGGAAGACAGAAAGGAACAGCAGTGCCTGGCTTGGGAAACTGAGAACTGGGCTCCCCTGTCTCTTGGACCTGGAAAAAGAAAAGACACGAGAGCTCTGTAAGTATCTTCAGGATGCTGGATCTGCACCCTTTTGTGTCATGTTGTTACAACTATGGAATTGTCTCTTCTGGTGCAGGAAGAGAGGCAAAATAAACCTGACATTTAGAAACACAAATATTGCTTACATAGCACTAACAGGAAGAAACATTAATTTTGTATGGAATTTTCTCCTGCCAGTTCAGGCAAATGTGAAGGAGTCTGTGTATTTTTTCTGTGAATTGAAATTAAGAAAGAAACCTAAAATCTGAATTCAGTCTTGATTAAAATTAAAAAACAGACCAAGGCATACATCCAGGGGATTCATGTGAATACAGCATGTCCACAACACTTGTTAAGATCTTATTTCAAAAATGCCAATTAACAAGTTCTGTAAATGCCAGAGAGCCAGAAGCTGCCATGCCATATAAGTGCCTTAAGAAAAGCTTCCAAGTATCCCAAGTGAAACATTGGAAGATGAGGGGAAGGGAGAGGAAGCTCACAGAACATGGGGCCTGGTCAGCAGCAGATGGAGCTGACTCAGGAGCACAGTGAGACCAGAGAGGGGAGTTTCTGTCATCTGCACTTCACTCACCCCTCAGCAAAGCACGGCTGTGGTTTGTCTTGTTCTTCCAAGATGTCTGACACGAGTCCATACAAATCAGTTTCACTGCCATAATCATTCCTTTCAGGCTGAATCCTGAAAACCAACTGTGTGTTAATAAATAGAATTCCTTCATTCAAAGTACCTCCTATGTTAAATTAAACAGAAAAATATAATCCATCTACTCCAACACACACATGCACTCTCTGACAAGGATGACTACCTGGACTTCAGGTTAATCTGAGGAGCAGCAGGCTGCTTGGTGTCATCTGTACATGTAGACCAAGGGGGGTACAAAAGGGAAGGATCCATGGGTGCAGAGTACTCTGATGTTGAAAGGGAAGAACTGTAGGCCTGAGGTAACTGCACATTTTCTTCATTCTGCATTTAATGTACAATAAAAGCATTTGTTTAATATGAAACACATCAAACCGCCATTTTGTCATTGTATATGCTTGTAACTGAGCTCACCCTTGGAGGAACCAGCAGATGAGAAGTAAGCAAACCACACATTTGGAATACAACTATTGCAGGCCACGTAAATGTCTTTAAGCAGAAGACATTAATGTGTCTCTGTCCCTTCCCTTGCCATCTGTTTCAGATGGAAGCTGATGGTATCATTCCCACCTTTCACCCCTTTGTTCAAACAGATGCTCTCAGGTGTGCTAAACTAATGTTGCTTAAAGCTTCTGGAAATCTTTCGTATTTTACATCCTGCCTGGCAATTGTTTAAGAAGAAGGTGCTGGAGCTGCACATCAAACTTCTTTGTCACTCAGCCTTGTGTTCTGTGTGTCCTGAGCTGACAACTGAGTAGGGGACACCTCCCCAACCACCCAGAGACCCCCCACAAAAGTCCTAGGCAGGCATATAACAGTGTGGGTACTGGACTTGTAAGATGCTTTCTTCTATGCCACCAGACACCAAAGCCAGGAGCTGTATGCTTTGAATGGGAGAATCCACAAATGGGGCCAAAGACTCAATTATGGTGGACCTTACCACAGGGATTTAAGAACAGCCCAAGGTTTTTGGAAAACAATATAAAACTGTGCACCCTTGGGACTGGAATGGGAGACATCAGAAAAAGTATAGCGAAGAAATATGAACCACAGTGTGCATCCACAGACCCAGCCTCAGGCTCCCCCAGAACAAGCCAAAAAAGGAACACATCAGGAAACTATTGGCAAATAGACTTCTCTCATTGCCATAGCAGAATGGGTATCAATACTTACTGGTAATAGCTGATGGATTTCCTGGGGGCCTGAAGCTTTCCCCTGCCAAGCCAACCAGGCTGAGGAGTTTGGTGAGGTACTACTGAAAGAGATCATTCCTAGGCACATGATACCGACAGGTATGTCAGCAAACTGTCCTGGTTCTGGAGAGGACAGGGTTAATTTTTTGCAGTAGCTGGGAAGAGGCATGGCCAGGATCCAGAAGTTATTCTGTACCTCCCAACCTCATTGCCTGGGGTGGGGGAAAGGGGCTCTTTCCCAAAGAGAAGGAGATCCTTCCAGTCAAGAAAATGTGCTGGAGGGAGCCATCCAGTATAACTGGAAACTTTTCCATGTGAATCCTTCCCTGTACCCTCTACCATGAGTGCTGTTGCTGTTACCTTCCCTTTTCTTCTCTCATCACTGCTCCAAGTAAATTATTCTTACCTCAGCCTGTGTTCTTTCCCTTTTGTGCCTCCAATTCTCCTCTCCACAGTGCCACAGCAGGGAGGGGAAGGGGAGAGCAGGGGAGATCACTGTGTGGTTTGGAGAGTCTCAGTGGGAGAACTGAACTGGGAAGTGCCATTCCCAAACCAAGACAGCCTTAACTGGCACCCAACAAACATGAGACACAAAGGGTTGGGTTAACAACAGATCTGCCCAGAGCAGGCTGGAAACAAATCTGATCCAAGCATTTGTTGTACTGGGCATGGAGCATTAGGCTCTGGGGAAGTTGAGCAGTAAAAACCACACTGTTAAAAACCATACTGGAAACAGTGGGTGGTGGGACCTTCAAAGATTGGGATCTACATTTAGGGAAGGCCACCTGGCCAGTGAACACCTGAGGCTACACTCATCCAGCTGGCCCTGCCCAATCAAAATCTTAATGTATCACAGAAGGAACAAAAGACAAAACAAGGAGGCCTGAGATGTTGCAACCAGCAACACTGAGAGTCAGAATAACACCTCAATCCAGAGAGAAACTCAGTCCTTTTGAAATCTATACAGGAGACCTTATCAGATAGTCTCTTACAAACCACATTCTGTGAATATCTGGGCCAAGAACACTTGTGTAATTATGTTATCTCTCCAAGAAGAATTTTGTCCTTTATCAACAAGTACTTTCATTGCAGAAATCTAATTGATCTGGACTTTCCTGTTCATGACATCCAGGTGGGAAATTGGGTCCAAGACCATGGAACAGTGAGGCACCAAAGGAACACGGGAATGGACCATACCAGGTTCATTTCAACACATACACACACAGCTGTGAAACTTCAAGGACTAGAGCCGTGGAAGCATCATTCAGGACTGAAAAAAAAATAGGATGAGGTAAGTGAGAAATCACCTCCTCTGGACCTCCAGGACTAAAAACGTTAAAAAGTAACTCCATGAACTGTGCCCAGGGAGAAGGCCTGTCTCACACAGAACTTGAATATCCTCAAGGGGTAGTAGCAATTCCAACTGCAGTAATTATTTTAGACAAACACAACTGTACAGACCAGGATTGCCAACACAGTGCCAGATGTCAAACTTGCTATAATGGTGGTAAAATTTTACACTGGTGAGGATTCTTATTGCAACATGTTTTCCCGAATTGCCTTGCCTTTCTGAATACGAAACTTGTATATGTAATCCTTTTGCTCTTTCTTGTCCGGTCAAAGACAGTAACAAGAAACCAATTGTACAATTGTTTAAGGAGGATGGAAGAGAATATAAATTTTTAATGATACAACTAGATGGAACCTGACAACATACACTCTCTAAAATTTCCTTTGATGCATAAGGAGGATGAAGGTAAATATTATTGCTGAGCTACAGGAGCTAAAGTAGTAGCAGAAGGCCATTGGATACAAGTAAAGGTAAAAGGAAATCCCTGACCATTAATGCCTCCCAAAGCACCTCAAAACTGGGAAATCAGCCTGTATGCAATTAAGGAAGGAGGTAAACAAAAAACACTATTAAAATTGATTATACTTAAAACTATAGTATATAATATTAATGCTATTATTGCTCTAGACCTGATCAATAATGGAACCACAAGGCATCCAACAGGACACAGAGCATGGACCCACTAAGAAAGAAACAGATGACAAACCACAGCACATGGACAACAGCTGAAGGAAATACAATTGAAATCCAAGATTTCTGCCTAGATATGGAACAGGACATCTGTAATTTTGAAATTCCACCACTGATTAATATAAAAATGATACTCAGATACATGAGTAAAAGGTGAGTATGCTGTAAGTACTTGTTGTGCAGATATAGAAACAGCTAATCGATTAAATCACATTCTAATTTTTGTGTTTGTAAACTTACCCCGCTCAGAGATTCTAACTAGTCAACTTCCAGTAGCTTCATTTCAATGAATAAGAAAATCCCTATATCTTAATTTCAACTATACAACCTAGCCCTATGGGTATGAGCCTTATGCTGGTATAGAAATTGCTACAATGTAAAAATTTGCAGAGGCAGTTAAAAGCAGCTAAAAACAATAGCAGAAACTCTATCTTACTATCCATCATGGCACTAAAGAAATCCATGAGGTAATGGAATGAGCAAAGAAAGATGGAGATCACCACAGGAGGGATATTTTAAGGCTGCACAAGCTCAGTGACTGCATTAGGCAAGCAGGAACTGTGGATTAGACAGGCAGGTTTATGCAAACTTTAGTGTCTAAATTCTCTCTTTTCATTCCTTGCTGTGCTTGGCTTGTGGGAAACTTCCCCGGGCACCATGCACAGAATAAACAATGTCTCTTTTCTCAACCCAATTCTTCACCTACACTTAAGGAAGTTCTTAAAACTAGCAACAATATTAGCCTAAAACATCTGCTCTAGTTTCTACTGGTTGACCCCTGCCGTGAGTTAGGAATTAGATCCCCTTTCTCCTCATCATTACAGAGTGTTAAGGTACTGAAAAAAAACCTTACAGCCATTTATTTTCTTAAGGAAAGGCATTATACCCTGATTACATGAAAAGGGACATCTTTACTTTTATCTTATCTGTTTGGTTTAGACGCAATAGGCCTTTCTAGCTCTCAGTAAGTGAAACAATAAATGGTGTTTTTGCAGGGTTAAATGTCAAAGACTCACAATACACTCCTTTGTGGAGGAGAGTAGTCTGACAAAATAACAAGTCCTGGATGGAAGAAGCAGCAAGTTTGGTCTTGAATGTACTGGGAAAAAAAATTCATTTGAGTCTTTTACCTCAGTGAAAGTTTATGGCTATGAAAGGCAAAAATTCCAAGAGAGAGCTGACATATTTAGCTCCTGCCCCGGCATTTTCTGCTGATCAGACTAAGAACTGATTCATACAAACACTTGGACTAAAGAAATATCTGAGGCAGTAGCTAAGGTTCTCCTTCTTACTCACTTTCCAGTTTTCCTAAAAGAGGAAAGTGTTTGCTCCTCACTCTGCCTCCAATTGTTTATGCCAACAGAAGAACAATTACCATGAACATTTCACTAGAGCAATGGTGAAATACCATTTTAACAAACATCCTCTACAGCTTCATCAGTGACTGCATTAGAAAAGCCATTGTCCCCCCGGTGAAAGTTACAACAGTGAAGATTTACTACAGTTATATCAAACACTGTGATTTACGTTCAGCAGTATAAGCAACCACTTTAGTCTAAACATCTTCTGACCATTTTGTTCACAAGCACTACAAACTCTTACAGAGCTATAAAAATAATCAATAACCAACTGAACCTGTGATTTGTAGCAGCCGTAGAGCGAGGCAGAGCCCGGCAGGGCGGTGCTGAACACATCCGTGGGCCTCCCGCCTCCTTCCGCACTGCCCCAGCAGCGGCCGCCGCCTCGGAACGCCACGTTGGGCTGCGGGGACAGGGAAAAGGACAGGGACGTCAGAACACACAGAACGGCGTGAGGGGCTGTGGGGACAGGGAAAAGGACAGGGACATCAGAACACACAGAACGGCGTGAGGGGCTGTGGGGACAGGGAAAAGGACAGGGACACCAGAACAAACAGCATGGCATGAGGGGCGGTGGGGACAGGGACATCAGAACAAACAGAATGGCAGGAGGGGCTGCAGGACAGGGACATCAGAACACACAGAACGGTGTGAGGGGCTGTGGGGACAGGGACATCAGAACAAACAAAATGGCATGAGGGGCTGTGGGGACAGGGAAAAGGACAGGGACATCAGAACAGAACAGCATGAGGGGCTGCAGGAGAGGGACATCAGAACAGTCATAATTACACACAGAGATACAATTATAAACATAGCTGACAGCTGTGGATTTTATACCAATGTTAACTTCTTTTAACACTTCTAATTTACTGCTGGATTCTGTCCCATCTGGGTTTTCAAGTATGTGGTTCTATATATGGATGTAAAACACTTTCCTATTTACCCTGAAGGAAAAGTTGAACCCACCAAAGCACGAGAAACTCCAAAGGTGTTCAGAGACGAGGGGGGTGCAGCTCAAGAAGAAATTTGCACTCTCCCTGTTTCCACCTGCTGGACTTCCCAACATCAGTGCCTCCACAGGGCAACATCAAGCACAGAAGAATGCTCACACAATCATGGTGTGAGCATTCTTCTGTGGTTTGGAAGAGACCTTAAAGGTCATCCAGTTCCAACCCCTGTCATGGGCAGGGAACCCTTCCTCCAACAGCAGTAGAGGAGTTATTCAGCCTTCACACATTCCTGGACACCTCTTGCCCTTCCATCACTGCTCCCAAACACTGTTTAAGTTACGTGATGGCATGGATGTGCATTTCCAGATGTCAAGAGCTGGAAGTTTCCCACAACACACACTCTGCTCTGTCCTGTAACTATGGGAGAAACAACCCCAGTTAGAGTGACATCCCTCCAAGTGCCAGAAACCACAGGCCAGCAGGAGCAAGGAATAAGAACAAAAACTGAGAGCTCTTCTCCTAAGGCTGAGGCACAAAAGGAAAAGCTAAACTGGCTAGCTAAAACCCCCTTTAGCCAACAAATAAAAAAGTGAAGTTACAGGCATATTACCATACCAGCTCATTTGAAATGATGAATAAATTCAGAAAAGCCAAAGTTCCCCAGGACCAGGGTTCTGAATAAGCTCTGCTCTCTAGAAACATATCCTTCTGCAGCTCCCTGAGGAGGTACCAAACGAGCTTCATTGCAGCTCACACGGCAGTTATGCCCTGGCATTTTTCTGTGTTTTTCCGGCACATTTTCCAAATAAATGAATGCACTGAGTTGTTGTGGAGCTCGGCTCTACATCCTGAGCTTACTGTACCATGTTTTCTCCTCAGAGATTGCCATTCACAGGGACACCTAACTCGCAAAATCTGCAATCCCACAGAACATGGGCAAACTTGTAGGGCCAGAAGCAGCCCTAAAGACACCCCCAAACCCATACTTCGTTCCTTTATCCGCAAGCAGGTGCTTTTCAGGATGCTGAGGCGTATTTTCCCCACAGGCCTGAGCTCCGTGTCTCACACCTGCTCCCACACAGGAGGGCGCCGGATCCCGGAAGGGGTAGCAGGGCTCGGACACCCGCCGGGGTCGGGCCTCGGCGCCTCCTCAGCGCCGAGGGGGTCAAGGCCAAGAGAGGCGCGGCGGCCCGCCGGGTGTGTGGGGGCGGAGGCGCACCGCTCACCCCGGTGCCATCCCGGCTCCATTCCGGTGCCGTCCCGTCCCGCTCCCGTCCCTCACCTCCATGGCTCCGGGCCGCTCTCGGCGCGGGCCGCCGCGGGGCGGCCTGAGGCGAGTTCCGCCCGTTGTCCTCGCGCCGACCCAACGGCCGCCGCACCCCGCGCGCCCCCGCCCATTGGCCAGCGCCCGAGGCGCTCGGCCAATCAGCGCCCGCGCGGCCGCCTCGCACCTCCCCGCGCAACGTGAGCGGCTCTGTCGGCCATGTGACAGCCGCCCGGCCGGCAAAGCGCTGCGCCGCGATTGGCCCCGCCCGCCGGCGCGTAGCCAATGGGAAAACAGATCGCTCGTGCCTCCCGCCAATGAGCGGCCGCGGAGGCGCCGCTCGCCCGGAGACAGCGCCCGGAGACAGCGCCCCGAGAGAGCGCCCCGAGAGAGCGCCCCGAGCGGCCCCAGGCCGTGTCACCTCCGGGCCCTGCCACATGGCAGCTCCGGCCCTGCCACCTCCGGGCCCTGCCACATGTCACCTCCGGGCCCTGCCACCTCCGGGCCCTGCCACCTCCGGGCTCTGCCACATGTCAGCTCCGGGCCCTGCCACCTCCGGGCCTTGCCAGCTCCGGGCCCTGTCACCTCCGGGCTCTGCCACATGTCACCTCCGGGCCCTGCCACCTCCGGGCCCTGCCACATGTCAGCTCCGGGCCCTGCCACCTCCGGGCCCTGCCACCTCCGGGCCTTGCCAGCTCCGGGCCCTGTCACCTCCGGGCTCTGCCATCCCCGCTGGGCCCTGTCACCTGCCACCTCCCCGACCCTGTCACCCCTGCCTGGCTCTGTCACCTGCCAGTCTCGGGCTCTGCCAGCTCCGGGCTCTGTCACCTGCCAGCCTCGGGCCCTGTCACCTCTGGTCCTGTCACCCCGCCGAGCTCTGCCACCCCTGGGCTCTGTCACCTCCCGAGCCCTGCCAGCCCTGCTGGGCACTGTCACCGCCGGGCCCTGCCACCTGTCACCTCCCGACCCTGTCACCTGTCACCCCCGGGCCCAGTCACCTCCCCAACCCTGTCACCTCCCGACCCTGTCACCTGTCACCCCCGGGCCCAGTCACCTCCCCAACCCTGTCACCTCAGGGCCCTGCCACCCCCCTGGGCCCTCTCAGACCCCTGACCCCTTCACCCTCCTGGACTCTATCACCCCCAGACCCTTCCACCCCCCAACCCTGTCACCCCCCAGACCCTGTCATCCCCGGGTCCTGTCACCCCTCTGCACTTTGTCATTGCCCACATTCCATCACTGCCCCGGCCCAGTCACCCCTCCAGACCTTTCCTCCTCCACACCCTGTCACCCCCCTGGCCCCGATGCCCCCGACCCCGTGCCAAGGCCGCCCTCAGGGGCTGCCCCCTCCCAGCCCCATGACGAATCCATTCAGGGCCGGGTTGGAGCTGCAGGATGGGCTCTGAACAGCCTAAGGCTCTCCAAGCCTTTGCACAGCAAAGGGCAGCGGGGACCTGTGGCCAGCCAGGGGACTGGCCACCCAGGACAGCAGGAGCTGGTGACCCAGACTCTACACACACGATGTAAGGGTGTACAAGCCAAGGATTTCCTTTGTTTGGGGTCCCTCCTCAGAGGCACCAGTTTGAGCTGTTAATTTGCTATTTAATTATTGCACCAAGATTAGATAATCTGGATTGAGATGGTTGACTGCTGTGGGAAGCCGGGTCTGACTGTCAGTGTGGGGCTGTAGCTGCAAAGGGGCTTTGGTGCCAAGCTCAGGTGGTGACAGTGACAGCCAGGGTGGCTCCTGGATGGTCGGACAGCCCTTCCACAGCGGCCTTGACCAGGTGCCAGCCATCTCCTCAGCCCTCCTCATCTCTTACAGGAGCAAGAGGAACCCTCTGTCACCCGTCACCAGTGACACAGCTGTCCCCAGGTGCCTGCGGCAGGGTCTGTGCCCTGCTGGGCACTCCCGGAGCTGCTCGGCTGGAGGAGAAGCCGCAGGGGAGCTGGCGGCAGGCGGAGCTGGGACAAGCAGGGGTCACAGCCTGTGTTTATTTATACTTTTCATTGTTGCTGCTGGTTTAGATACTCTGCCAGCGCATGGATATCATTGTTCTCACTGGAAGGGACTAAGAAAAACCCACAAACTCTGAAACCACACCCAACTTGTTTTAACTTCTAAAGATACTTTGTGTTGCACTCCTCAAGCTGTTTTTAAGGCACTTGGAGACACCATTTTTGCTGCCACCCTTATCTGGGCCACTCAGGGCAGTAAGAACCCACAGAGCCAGACGTTATTTTATGAATTGTGGTCTTTTGTGCTGCCATACATCTCTCACTTCCTCAGTGTGTGCTGCCAGCCCGCAGGATCATGGGGAGGTATGAAAAACGCCAATCACTTGTTTTTTAAAATTTTAAAAGTTTAATAATAATAAAATGGCTATAAAAATAATCATACAATTAGAGTAATTAAGTTTAGAGTTAAGACAATTACAAGACAATAAAAGGCAAAGAATTATGGATGTCCGGATGCTCTCAGACACTAAGTCACGAAAAGCATGTCTTGTGAACAAAACAATCACCCTTAAAACAATACACTTGTTGCATATTCATACACCTTCATGGTTATGCATACATTCTATTCTAAACAAGAAACTCTGTTGTATGTCAACTGTTTTCTTTAATCTCCTGGCGTCTTCGATTCTGAGCAAGGCCTAAAGAAATTAGTTTCTTCTGATAAGAAGCCATAAATTCCTCTCCTTTGGAAGATTTAGGTGTTCCTTGAAGTGAGTATATCATCCTAAAAAAAGAAAAAGACCTTCCCCCCCATATACAGAGTCTCTATATATATATTTTTTTTTTAACTACAAAAGTCTTCATTTTAACTACAACAGCACGACTAACCAATATAACATAATACATATAGTAACTATCTGCTTAGAGCCATATAATATGCATTTTTCACAGGAGGGCAGCAGGGAGAGCCTGGGCAGCCAGGTCTGCCCAGCCCCTTCCTAAACCCACCCAGGGACTGCAGACACAGAGGTTCTGTCTGCTGGAAGCCAGAGGATTCACTCCAGGAGATGAGGGGGTTGTCAGTTGTGAGAACCCCGGGCTTGGTCTGGGGTCTCATGTGGTGGTAAAGTCTTTCCTCCAACCCGTGCTTCCAAAGAAAGACTCCTCTTATTGTTCGGTCTCAAGGCAGTTTATTGTAAGAAATCTAAAAGATTGTTTTTGTGGGCTGTGGCTGTTTGGTCAGCGACCCAGGCAGAGACACACACCCTGACACCCTCTCTGTCTGCTGTCTTCTTCTTCTCCCTGCCCAGGGCTGCTGCTAGCTTTTATATGATATATTATGTATAATATGTGTACAGTTTTCCCCCAATACCTACTACTGATATTAAATGGTGCTTTTATACTTGAAACCAATCTGTGAGTGCCAACATCACCAAGAACATGGAGGCAAGGAAGAAGAAGGAGGAAGAAAAGGATCAGCCCACTTTCCTCCATCTTAGAACTTCTGACCCCCATGTACAAAGTAAAACCCCCCTGTACATGTGCTAAAACCCCCCTGTACAATACAAAAAAAAATTCCCCTCTGTTTTGTAACTACTTTTACTATACTATCTAACCCTTTGTGACTGCTTGTTCCACCTTCAAAGTTGGTAACTCATTCCATGGCTCAAACTCAAAATTACAGCTGTTTCCAGCTGCCCACCAGGGTCTAAAATGCTTCTGACCAAGGCCTGGAACCTCCAAAAATGTCTGAGGGACATTTTGAGTTCAAACAGTCAGTGAAAGTCTTGGTTCCAGAGCATGTCCCAGACCCCAGTTCCATCTGCTGCTCCCTGCCCCATGGAAGGGCTGTGGGGCAGAGCTGTGGGGCAGGGATTTGGAGCTGGCTCTGGAGCAGCCAGGTGTGGGCTGCAGTTCCTGCAGAGGAGTCGGTGTGATCTTTGTGCTTGGTTTGGGGGAGCTTTGCTTTGTTTTTCTCCCCCTTTTGAAATGGTGAAAAGGGGGGAAGCACGGCCACTGCCTCACTGTCCCACTCAGCTACTCCCTACTAATTAATACATTGTATTTTCTGTATTTCTTCTGCAAGAGACTCCCTTAAGGCCACAGAGCAGAGATCTAGGAAGCTGAGAGCAGTGAGGATCCCCTTCAAAACTCATCATTGAGCCAGAGCTCACTGCTGGGCTGAGCCTCCTATCTGGGCGCCTTTCCAGCTGTGCAGGACAACGGTGTCAGCCTTGTCACCTGTCGGGGTCTGGCTGCTGCACCCCGAAGCACAGGGCTTGTTTGCAATATTTAACAACCACTTCCCAGTGCTGAGATTTCTGTCAGGGACAGTAAAAGTGCTCAGCTGCAGGCAGGGACAACAGGGTTTCACTGCAGGAAATGGATCCTTGCCCTGCTGGTATCAGCCCATGGCAGATTTAGGCACTGACCCCATTTCTTCTTCTCCTTAGGCCTGTGCTGTGCACTGAGGCACATCCACAGTCTGGGGCACCGACCACTTTGGCCAGTGTGATGAAGTCTCCTTGGTGCCACTTTTCCATGGACCTGGCAATCCCAGCTGACTCTGGTACCTGTTCAAGGCAGTAACCAGCAGTTACAATCAGTATTAATATTTTACGGTGCTGTCAAAGCCCACGCAGGAAGCTGCTGGGACAGGCTGCTAATGTGTTAAAGCTCCCAGGATGTTTGGGTTGGTTTTACAGACACTACTGAGCTTTGGGGTCGGAGTGTTTGGCATCCCCTCCCTCAGAACACAAACACAGCTGGGATTTCATCTCTGGCTGAGCACCACACAGGGGGATGAGCTCTGTGAAGGAGCCATTGTCACCTCTCAGCACCACTCCTCCAGCGTCATCTGCTTCTCCAGAGCAAAGCACAATTCCAAGCAAATCCCACATGGATCCCCATCCCGGAGCCTGGCTGGAAGATCTGGGCGCTCGGGCAGGACCCGGCTGTGCAGGAGCAGATCCTGTGTGGTGGCCATGGGCTGGAGGAGCCCCGAGCCCCGTCCCCCAGTGTCCTAGGGTGACCTTATGGTGTTTGTATCTCCAATCCTGTGTTCTGTTTATGTCTGATATTATGTTCTGTGCTTTCAGAACTGACTCTGAAAGTGAAGGTTTGTTTTGCCTTGTTGTCAGCCAGTTCACCTCCCTCCATGGTCTGCTGTCTAGAAAAGGCTGGTGCTGGCTTGCTTGCTTGCTTGCTTTGCTTGCTTCTGCTTTTGCCTTTGCTTCCTAGTTAGTTTAGCTAAGCAGTCCAATTCTTTCCCTGGACTGTTTCCTTTCCTTTCCTTTCCTTTTCCTGAATAGCATCCAACCTGCTCCGGACTGGGACCTGGAAACACTGAGGAGCACCCAGAGCCTGCATTTTGTGATCTGCAGCAGCCATCCCCAGTGAAGGAGAGCAATCCCCAGCGTCCAGACCTGGGCGACCACTCCCAGGAAAGACTTTCTGGATTTGTTCATCTCTTCAGAGTGG